AAAACCAGTCTCCAGGCCCTGGCTTGTCAACTCTAACATCTGTCCCTGTGCAGGTGGCTGTATTTCTGAAGTTTCTATTTTTGTGTCTGGCTCAACAGTTTTTGGAGCAACACCCTCTATTGACACTCTGTGGTCAGATTTTGCAACTTCACTCTCTGTGACTTTGGCTTCTTCTCTATGCAACTCAGAATTAGCCTCTATTGATGTCTGAACAGCTGCTGCTGATGTTATTTCAATTTCACATGGAGTGGAGGATGAGTGGGTCCTACAACCTGGGGATGCAGTATTTGATGCTTTGGCTGGGGATTTTGTCTTGCTCTGTTGTATTTCATGACCAGGGAAGGCAGGCATTTCAGTAGACACTGGAGAAGGAGTAGTCTTACTCACACTGCCAGAGGATGATGCTTTGGTAGAGGATTTGATTTGATTTGATTTGTTAGGCTCAGATAAAACATTGGGCTTTTTTGGTGACACAGAGGTCGAGTGAGAAGATGAACTTTTTGTCAATTTGGATGAGGAAGAGGGTGAGGTCTTAGATTTTTTTGAAGGCCTTGAAGAGGTCCACTGCGCAGAAGGTGACACATCTGAGCCTTTTCCCTCTCTTTTACCTGACGAGGACTTGGAAACTGACAAACTTGTATCTCCCAAGTCATCACCAACTTCATCAACAACGAGAAAGTCCTCTATGTTGAAACTTTTATCATCAAAAAGGTAGGCATCTGAAGAAATAGCATCATCTGTAAAATCATCCTGACCATGGAGGAAGAAGAAAGAAAGGATCAGTCTCTGAAACAATTAGCTTATGTCACAATATAAATGACAGCTTTATTAATTTAACAATTCTGCCCATAAGCAGCGCTGGCTTGCTGCCACCCCCTAAACTGTTGTTTATATGTAAATTTGTGTGTGTTGACTTCTGACTGTGATTGGAGCCAGAGGTATCTGCACCCACTCCTCATGCAGCCTAAGACTGATTAGTCAGCAAACTATCCATCTGCTGCTTCAAAAATGCAGCTTGTAGTAAGCTGGATTCTACCATAATTGGGGGCTTGTCTCTGTTTCTTTTAGGCAGTCTCATGTCAAAATTATTAAACCCTTTGTAAGTGGAATGTTTTGAAACATTGTAGTCAACTCATTTGTCTGAAAACCAAGCTGGACATGGCATTGTTAGAGAGTGACTTGTAGCCAAATCTTCCTTGGACCAAACTGAAAAATGCCATAAAGACGATTTCACAGAGTGCGGACCTCTTAGGTAGCATATATTCAAAATAGTGGGCCAAAAGCGAGCTTGAAGGATAGGTCTGGTTATATTCTATTTGATATCTTCATTACATAATGTACAAAAACTAAAACCCAACAATGAACTCTGTGTACACAAAATCTATGAATCAAGAGCCTGGTTTACCTTAAACATCTGTGCCATAGACTTCCATGATACAAAAACTACTAATAGCACACCACCACACACTACTGCACCAGGTGACATAATTCTTCTTCACGAAAAATGTGAAGCACAAGTGTGAGCCTCGTGTCAGGTACATGTGCTGCTAAAGGAGGAGCCAAGAAAAAAAACAAAACAAAAAAAAACCTTGCCAAGCTGTATGAATTTCATTTGCAATTATATGGCTACAACAACCCTGTTGAGCGATTCAAATGACACAGCAAGCTAAACCATCTGCTCTATGCTGTTAAAAGACTGTTCTCTTTCTCGGTCCCAGCCAAAACTTTCACTGTATATCCACAATGGAAGTCGTTTCACCAGTTCCCTCCACAATGCAAAAGCGAAGCCAAAATATTATGCAGATGGCGGCTGCCATCTTGTTTTTTTGCAACCAGAATCTGTGCAGTAGTGCCTAGAAGTAGTGACAAAATCTGACCATCAATCAAAGCTGTCAAATCAACTGAAATACACCCGTTTTTATGTCAAATAACTTAAGACAAACAGAAAAATTACCATTTGTACATAAATTACCACAATAATAGCTTCTAAAAAGAACAGAGATGACCTCTGGAAAAATTTGATTTGTACTTTTGAGTTTTTATTTTGGCTCATGTCTCAGCCACTAAGATGGAGGGGGTGGGATTTATGACCTATACTGCAACCAGCCACCAGGGGCTTCACAATTCACAGTGGCTTCACTTTGGAGAGCTGTCAGACCATCCACTGTATACAATGGGGAAGGAAAAGATTT